TCTCTCTCTCTCTCTCTCTCTCTCTCTCTCTCTCTCACACACACACACACACACACACACACACACACACTTTCCAGCTATGGCTACGGTGCCCAGCGTTGTTGACGACACTGCCCTACACTCACGCTCACTTGCTCAGTCCCCTCCTGAACGCAGAATACCGCAGCAGCGCTTCTGCATTGAGTGTGAAGCATGTCCCTATGTCCAAGTGCTGCTGGCCTTTTGTACTTGCTGATCTGTCTTCCAGACTTCTTCTTATGGTTATGGGTTGGTCTCCTTTTCCTTTGTTTGCTGCTTCCAGAAGTTCTGAGACTTCCCTGGATCTGGCCACTCGACTGGACGGACTGACACTTGGCCAAATGACCTCTGCTATCCTTGCCGAAGCTTGTTGTGCCTTCCTGAAAATAGACTTATTGACCCACAACTGTTGTCTAACAGCCCACCGCCTGCTTAACTAGCCTACCTACCGTCTTCACCCGAATAGAACGCCCGGTCATTATTGCTGTATTTGATGGAACTTCAAGTCTAGATACAGTGATAATGACCAGGGTTTCTATTCGGGTAGGTCTCTGTAAACCTTGTACATGCAGCTAGGGCCGCCAAAGGAACATGGAATGGGAGTCGGGACAGGACTTGGGACTGGGATGCAGGACTGGGGATCGGGACTGGGACTCGAGATTGGGACTCGGGACTAGGACTCGAGACTGGGACTTGAGAATGGGACTCACGACTGGTACTCAGAACCGGGACTCAGAACTGGGACCCGGGGCTGGAACTCGAGGTACGGAGAACAGTGAATCCTTTCAAAATGTTGAAATAACTTCATATAAGTGAAAAACGAAGGAGAGAAAGAAAGAAGAGCCGATTTGGCACTCGGTCTTGATGCTGAGGAAAAGGGACAATACTAAAGCATGCAATCATTCTGCAACAGGGGGAAAAAAAAAACAATCAGCGATTTCTCGGCTGTCCCTCCACAGTGCTGAATATCACGGCCTTCTTCCATATAACTCAAGGATGTTCACTCTTGCCTTCCAAACCTCTCAATTTCATAACTTTTATCATTAATTCGACAAGCACAATCTTTCCTATTCAGTATTTACTACTTAGTTTACTTTTTTTTTTAACTAAGCTATATTCTTCACTCATATACTTCACTCTACCTAACCTCTTATCTTCTAAGTCCAGCTCTCACTATCGATTGTTGCACCATATCTATGCACACAAGCGGGGCCGCCCAAAGAGTTACAGGTTGGCACCGACCTCCTCCCGTGTCTAAGCACCGCCGCTTCTTCCTAATCCCAGGCAATGGATGGGAGGGGAAGGAAAACCCTACCAAGCCCTACCAGGGGGTATGTTGTATTTAGTTGCTCATTGCAATTAAGAATACCAGCTCTGGAAAGGGAAAACTTTGAAGTGACTGGAGTCTGAGTTTGGAGGCAATCACCTGGCAGTCTGATGGCTACATAATCCTACCGGTAGGGGCATGGGGCGACAGCTAAGGGAGGGTACAAACGGGATGACTCATCGACAAGTGGTACGAACATCTCGGTTTGGTTATCTATCTGTAACTGCGAGTGTGTCTGTCTCTTTTTTCTGTCTTTGCCAATCAGATATTGAATGACAAGCACAAAGAGATGGAGGAGGTTGAGGAGGTTGAGCAGGGGGAGACGGAGGAAGAGGTTGACGAAGACAGACAAGAAGGTTGAGGAGGAGTAGGTTGAGGATGTTAAGGAGGTGGAGGAGGAGGTTTAGGACATTGGGGAGGGGAGATGAAGGGGGAGGAGGAGGTCGACGATGGTGTGGCGGGGAAGAGGGAGGTTGAGGAGGAGGAAGAAGAGGGAGGAGTACCACAAGGACAAGGACAGGAAGGAGGAGGAGGAGGAGGAGGACCACAATGACGAGGACGGGAAGGAGGAGGAGGTTTAGGGAGACAGAGTGGAGAGGGGGGGAGAAGGGGAGGAGGGCATAGGTGGGAAAGGAGGGGGGAAAGGGGGAGGAGGGGAGGGKGGGAGAGGAGGAGAAGAAGGGGGAGAAGGGGGAGAAGGGGAGGAAGTGGAAGAAGCAGAAGAAGGAGAGGGCGGAAGGAGGGGGAGAGGGTGAGGAGAGGGTGGAGGAGGGATAGAGGAGGGGGAGAGGACAGGAGAGGACAGAAAGGAGGAGAGGCGGGAGAGGATAGGAAGGAGGAGCAGGGGGAGGAGGAGGGCAGAAGGAGTTGAGGATCGGGGGGGAGGACAAGGTTAGCGTGAATGGGGAGGTTGAGGAGGAGGAGGAGGCTGGGGGGGGAAGAGCTTGACGAGGGTGCAGAGGTTGAGCAAGATGAAGAACTAGTGGAAGGAGGGGGAGGGGTCCGAGTGGGAAGATGGTTGAGGTGCTGGAGGAGGGGGAGGGGGAGGGGGAGAACGAGTACAAGGAGGAGGAGGAAGGAGGAGGAGGGAGGAGGAGGGAGGAGGAGGGAGGAGGAGGAGCAACAAAGCTCCTCACAGAAGCACACCTCTCCGAACATTTGGCTGATATCAGGAGATGTCACAAAGTCTCCATCGGTGCCAAAGACATCCCGATGCATATAATAGCCAGCTGTGGGATTCGTTAACACCTCTTCCATATACTCTGCCAATGTGATTGGACCACCGCAGAACTGCCAGAGAATGGGGGTGAATGGCCAATAAGGGGGATCAAATGGGGGTTAATGGCCAACAAGGGGGATCAAATGGTGGTTAAGGGCCAACCAGGGGATCAGATGATGGTTAGGAACCACAAAGGGGGATCAAATGGGGGTTAAGGGTCATCTAGGGGGACCAAATGGGGGTTAGGGGCCATCCAGGGGAATCAAGTGGGGGTGGGGTTCAGGTTGAAGGACAGAAGAGATGACGGAAGTGGTGTGGTAGTGGTTGGAGAGTGCAAGGGTTTATGACAGGGGCTCAAGAAGGCGCAAGGAGAATCAAAATCCACCACGTTCATACACACATAAACACGAAACGTCAATAACTTCTAGTCTTCTACCACTCGTGCAATCGCACCCGTTCGTTTCTTTCTTCTCCAACTGGCAACTGACCATCCCCCCTTACCTCTTAATATCGATGGACAAAAAAAAAAAAGAGCCGAAAAAAAAAAAAGGAGCAAAAACTTCCAAAAAATGAAAAATGATCACAAATCTCACCGATGGCAACTGTTCATTGTGAGATCAACCTCTCTTAGTCCACATCCCAACCAGGACCGGCAGGAAGGCATATCCGATCAATCCGCCTGCGTTTTTTTTTTTCAAAGCAACCACCTCATTTTTTTCCTTTTTTGTTTGGCCCATTTCTCAATTAATATGTGTCGTCCATTTTGTTTGGCCCATTTCTCAATTAATATGTGTCGTCCAGAACCTGAGAGGAATACATGAGAAGGGCAAGCTGACAGTCAGTCCTCCTTTAACATGGAGCAGTCAATGTTGGTCAGGGATTGTTGCATACTCGTGAAACACAGTCCTAAGTATGGCGCAGATTCCCAGAACCGACCAGATAATACAGAGTTTATACAAATGCAAGCGGAAGACTTGAGATACCTTGGACTGACTCGGACCTGACTCAGACTGCAATCGAAACACTCAAACATTCATCAGGGCTGTGAATGCCCTGGCCTCAGACATAGACGAAGGGCCAGGGACTGAGATCATCCACGGACGAAGGGAGAGAAGAGAGACAAAAGAGGAGGAGAGGGAAGATGACGTCAACCCAATGTTCCCAAAGATAGTACCTTGAATTGTCAGAAGTGACGAAAATCCGAAATGCCGCGAATGCCAAGTCTCACAATATCCCAGATATCGATCTCACAATGTCAAGTACCTCTCTCAATAGTAAGATGAAATCAGGTCCCCAAAGAGTCCTCAACTCGTACTCCCAATGTCGCTGTTCCAAATGTTATCAGAATTTGTAACCATTCTTCATACCGCAGTAGTCCCGTAGGAGAACCCAGAAGTAGACTGAGACTGAGAAGGTAGGAGAGAGAGAGAGAGAGAGAGAGAGAGAGAGAGAGAGAGAGAGAGAGAGAGAGAGAGAGAGAGAGGAGCGGTGGAGGAGATGAGGGAGAGAAGGCGAAGCCTTCCTCCCTGGTACCTGGCTATGGCGCTGCAGGGGGCTGGGCCGGTAACTGGCGAGGCGCCCAATGCTGCGCTAATCCGCTCTCCGCTGAACCCTTGCTCTCTCGCTGCTCCTCGCTGTGCTGCAGCGCTGCGCTAATCGAGCTAACGCTGGGCTGCTGCGCTAATCCTGAAGACTAACCTCGTCCATACTAACTCTCCCCTACGGAGGCTGGTACCCAGCCTTTTGTAGTGCTGGGCCGGCCTCCTACCCGCTGGTACCTACCGGCCTGGACCGTTGATCTAGATCAACGGTCCAGTTTCAAAACTGGTTGGCGCCTAAACTGTGGCAGCCTCTGAAACGCTGCCAGTAGGTCCTATGCTGGACCAGTACCGGCCTTGTGGCCGTNAACTGGTTGGCGCCTAAACTGTGGCAGCCTCTGAAACGCTGCCAGTAGGTCCTATGCTGGACCAGTACCGGCCTTGTGGCCGTGGTCCAGGCCCATCTGGGCCTCATCTGAACCGTCGTCCCTTAGGCCTACCCTGCATGTCTGGAACCGGGCCCTAACTGGGGCCCGTGTGCCTCAGAATGCCACAGGGATCCTTCGGCCAAACGGAGGGATGCGTGTGTGCGTAATTGATGTATCTAACTTTGTTTTTTTGTTTTTTTTTGTTTTTGTTTTTTATAACTTGGACCATTTCTCGATTTATGTGTGTCATCCTTGCGCAGGGGCCATGCTAATCTTGTCTAGGTTCTCTGTATCGTTCCAATTTTAACGGATGTCCCGACGGACTATCTAACTATTTTGACTTGCTGGGGGAATAGGAACCGGACTGACGCTCCCCAGAATGGACATGTAGCCGGGGCCATAAGGACCTGTTATTTGTTGGGTTGGGTTGGGGGCGGGGGGCGGCATGGAACGTTTTCTGACTGGGGCAAAAAAAACAAAGCAAAGAAAAAAGACTTGGTTCAAATTGGCTGTACTGAGGAGCTGGCAAATTTGCACCAGCTTGGGGGGTTAACACCACCTTTTTCCCTTGTCCTTGAGGGGGGGGAAGGAAGGGGAGGGGTAGAGGTCAAATTCTCCCAATGGATGTAGATTTTTTTCTTAAATTGACCAAAATGGGTCACAGTGTGTTACACCTACATCAGTTGCCACGTACCAGAGTACCGCACAGATCTTTTTCCCTTTTAAAAATTGACAAAAATCATGAACAATGTAAAATTACAGCTTTTGTTACGATACTGGCTGATTCCGAAGCGCAAATACACAAGAAAGTACAATGCCGTCCAATTGCAAAAGAAATTAATGAACTTGGGATGAAGGAGAGATAAAAGAGGAGGAAGAAGAAGAAGAAAGAAGAAGAAAGAAGAAGAAAGAAGAAAGAAGAAGGAGATGTACACCAGCAAAGACCAATGACAATCCCCCCCCCCTCTTCTCTCGCCGACCAACTCCTCCTCCTTATCGCCTCCTCTCTTATTCAAACAATAAATCATAATAAAATAACATACTTGCGGTGCGCGATGCGGTGCGGTGCGCCCTGCGGAATGCGCGCGCACGAGGTGCGCCGTGCGCGCAGCGCATGGAGGCGCGCTACTGTGCAAGGGTGCGCAAAGTGCGCCATGCCTTTTTTCGGCTTGTGTGTGTGTTATGGTTTTACTGCGTGGCTTCTGTGACAGTGTCGCAGCATGTTGTGTCACGAATTGCGTTAAAAAACAACACCACCGATCGAGTCACACCGTACCACTGCGGATTATGCAATACAAGATGACGATCAAAATACCAACGACAATATCACGGATTCAACCACACATCATATCCATTGCTGGACTCTCGGTCCAAGTGTGACAGCATCGCTCAAACCATGGTCAACCAAAACTCCCTCGCCTACTCACCGTAAGCACGTAGAGCTATGTTAAGCCTACTTCCTCCTCTCCGAGACAGAGTTTCATTCAAAATGGGCATAGAGCGGCGGATGGGTATACGATAGTGACTAACCGGCCCAACGTGGCAAGATCCTTAGACTCATTCATTACATCCTATTGTTCAAAGTACGAGAAAAACAAATTAGCCATCCAACACGGGGTGTTGCCGAAGTACCATGGAACAACCCGATAACCAGCATTCCAATTCTCAGAGAAAAAAAAAAACTCATTCACAGATAGCTATCCAATCGTGACATTCTTATGAACCGGTCATCCCACTAGGAAAGCAAGACATTATTCACCCCACTCCACCCTCCCATTATCGGTTCGATTCAGTATCGCTCCTCCATATCTACCCCAGTCTCATCAATGAAGGTGACTGATCTATCCTACTTCGCTCCTACCCCCTGTGCCCACGAAACCGAGTGATTGCCCATACGGCGACAGATCAAATCACTTGTCCAGAAAACACCGATATACAGGAAGTTCGTTCTGTTACAAAAAACCGTCAATCCGGCGAGCGTACGCACCCCCTGCCACCCATCATATCTTTCGTACCATTCGTACGAAAGTAAATCATAACGATGCCAAAGCACAATACTAGTGATTAGGGCAAACAAGGATCCATGGAACGAGAACCAATAGGACAAGGCGATCATGCTGACGATGCAGGAAGAAGAGAGGGGGGGCGGGCCCACTGGGCAGGTCGACAAGTGGGAGGAAMATGACARCCATACAGTGGACATCATCAGGCCAAGAGAGATCAGAAGCATGAGAGATATGGCGACGAAAGAGGTGCCCAAGATGTAGGCAGACGGCATCGGGGATCGACAGAAAGCAGCCATGACTCCAACCCTCGGAAAGCATTAATCAAGCACCCTGCCACTTAGTTCGCACATACGCAACACAAATCCCGTTCGATGGAGAAGCCACAAAACGAGTTGCATGCATAACCCTCGGCTACGCTTTACACCACTTGGTAGATGGGGAACCTGCAGTTGAGTTCCAACACTCGTTGATGCACTGTAAGAGTCGGATCGACCGATGGTCAAGAAACGAAAGGAAGGCGAGATATGCCATGAACATCAAGACCGAGATGAGTGCCACGTGAAGCGCAATCAGCAGGTCCATCTTCGACGAACTCCCGTCGCTAAAATTCCAAGGAGGACGCATATAAAATGGCCTACAATCACGCATCAAAATCCACATGCATAACGAAGAAAATCGATGGACAATAACAGGGTTACTCTGGTATTTTCAATCAAAGCATACATCAGCGCGGCGATTCTTCGATATACTCATTAAGACGAGAACGGGAGGGAAGGATGGGGAAGAGAAGGGGAGTCGAGCAGGTCCCAATCCAGTTGAACGGCTCCAACGCGCTGACGTATGTTTAGAGGGTGATGGATCGCGCCCTTAAGTACTTTTCACCAGCTTCCATCCCGCTGGATCTTCAGAGAACAGAACCTCACACATTACGCACCGGAAGGGACATAAGCTTCATAAGCCAAGATTAATAGATGGGGAAGAGAGATGGACGAGCGTGGTCGTTTGGAACACCAATCATTGGGAAGTCAGAGAACGGGGGACGGGGGTGGGGGGTGGGGGGAGGGACAATGGAGCATGAATGCTTTTACCGGTCCAGGCG